TTCGTAAGTGGTGAAGTCCTTAGCTCAGTATTTAAAATAGCAAAGATAGTTATAACTTTCACAAGCAAAAGTAGGTTTGTTGGAGTTTTTTGTGGGAACGCAGGGAGTGCTGCGAATGAATGCGTAGTGAACAATACAAGGTGATGGTTAATCTTTTTCGCATTATTGGTACTAGCGTTAGATCGTGCTTTGACACTTTCGCAGTACTCCTCTGCGCTCAGTCTCATATGCTTCACTGGTTCGTCCTGATTAAGGCTTGGTGGAGATGATTCTTAGCACCTTCAGTAATGTCGGTTGAGTATTGAGATCCGTGGGTACCTCGACACTATCAAATATAATGATTTTCTCTCAATAATTTTCGTTACTATCTCTTCCATGTCATACCAAATGAATATATAATATGGTGGTTAAGGACAGCTTGCATGCAATAAATTATAGCCATTTGAAGACTCTTAAGCTCTCTAAGATCTTCCTCAACAATTCGATAGATGGGTTAGATGCAGCTTTGAAAAAAGCATTTTTCAGTCAAATAGCAGTAACTCTGTGGTGATGTTTACTCGTCACAACTTTCCAGTACTACACATGAAAAGAATTACCGAAAACTGATCAAGTAAGATGGCAGTTCATAGTACGAGCTCCATAATTCACAAGAATCAAATTACAATAGTCCAACAGTAAATATTTCTAGATTCTACACCATCGCATTATTTAAAAAAAATAGAGTTATTTCGGTCAACGCGATGTACTGCTGTTGTCAAGCTCCCTTCCTTTGTTATATATAGCGCACTGCCATCAGCACCTGTAATTCAATCTATCATTCAAGTAAAATGGCATTCCATTCCAGAGAAAAAAGTATCGTTAACTTCAAAAAGCTATACCTAATCTGTGAAATGTTTCAAGTCTGGCAATTCTTTGAACCAAATACGGTGGTTAATTACACCTGGCAATTAAATGAAGAGTCCACCGCAATTAGTTAACACCATTAAGTCTGGCAGGCAGGATTAGATAACATTTCTGTCTTGTCCAGAAACTGGCTTTTCTAACTTCAAAATATCATTTCATACAGAAATAATAATAATAATAAGTGCCTTTCAAGTGAATCGTGACAGATGACGCTTGTGGGTTTGGTTCAAGACAGCTTGCAAACCTTAGCAATTCAGTCACTACGTCACCTGGTCCGTCCTTAAGTGTACCAAGATTGCATATATTCAGACCCGATTCATCAGCGCAGAGGATTCCCTTCATTTCTTTTTTTGACATTCTAGAAAATGGCATTAAATTTGATGATTTTGTAAGAAAACTGATTTCGTTATACCCTTTCGATGTAAGATTTGAAGCCTTTAAGTTCAAGTACTTTAAAATGATGAATCGAAGCATACAAATCTAACAAGCTATAATCAAGGAATAAGTTAAGTGTGTAAAAAATAAATTTACGTCACAAAACGTATGAAACTGACTTACATTTCGCTAGCTACCTTCTGCAGCTGCAATTCCATACTTGCTCACTTATAGGCCATAAACTGCGTCAAAGCTGAATTGAAGGCTACTTTTTATTTTGCTTCATATAAAAATTAAGGAAAGGCAATCACCGAAAGTCTAAAGTGACGTATATCACGCTCTCA